TACACGTGAAGGCTTGAGGGGACTGGAACCACTAATCTTTGAGCCTGGGGTCTCCGTGGTTTCTACTTCCTGGCCCTAGCAATGGACTTTCTGAACTTTCTTGCCCTTTCAGAATTGCGTTTTGAACTTGAGTGTGGTCGTGGGTGACTCCCCGGCCTCCTGCCCTGGGGCGTGGTGCCTTTGCTCTGCGTCACCAAAAGTTTCGTCATCCTGATCCCAGCTTCTTCCAGATCATCCTCCCGAGGCTCAGCAGCGTCTCCGCCAGTGCCTGTGGGGTTCTTGCCCTCATTTCCCTTGTCCCTGGAGGTGGGGGCGTGCCCGAGGCCGTTTGCCTCCCTCCCTAGACAGAAGCTCCCCGCCACAACACCGGCAGGAAAGGGCCAAGTTTCCTTCTGTAATCAGGCCTCCGGCACAGCTGGGGCCGCTCTGAGCGCAGAGGGGACCCAGCCCTGCCGATTCCCCCTGGCCCGCTAGGGCTCGGCCCTCCCCACTGTTTATATTTAAGATGATGAGAAAATAAATCCGTCAAGTAGATTAACCACCTCCTACCACATGGATTCTGCCTTTATTTTCTTTGTATTGCAATATAATTTATACATCTTAAAATTCAATCTTTAAAGTGTACAGTTCAGTGGTTTTTAATATATTCTCAAAGTCGTACCACTATCAGCATGATCTAACCCGAGAACATGTCCCTCACTCCCAAAAGAAATCTGTATCCCTTGCAGTTACTCTCTCTCCATCCCTTCTTCTTCCAGCTCTGGCAATGACTAATCTACTTTCTGTGTCTATGGAGTTGCCTCTTCTGGACATGTCATAGAAATGGAATCATACAATACATGGTCTTTAACTTCTTGTTTGATCTCTTAGCATAATATTTTCAAGGCTCATTCATGTTGCAGCATGCAGCAGTGCTTCATAGCTTTTTATATTTGAATATTGCGTTGTATGCACGGACCACTTTGTTTATCCGTTCATCTGTTGATGGACATTTGGATTATTTTCCCTTTTTGGCTATTGTGAATACAGCTGTTATGGTAATCATCATATGGTAATTCCATTTAGCTTTTTGAGGAACTAGGCCTCCCAATCCCCAAATTACATGCAATGATTTAGTCTGATTTGGTTTTTTTGTTTATGTATGACCACAACTTAGAAAAATGTTCACCAATTAAAAGAGGTGTAGACAACAGTTTTCTAATACATATTTCCCAGGTTCTATAATAGCTCAAGTCTCAGTCTGAGTGATGGTCCATTGACACTTCTCTGATTTCCTTCAGGAAAGCGATAAAGGCTTACTTCTAAAGCTAGCTAAAAACTAACCTCCCGAATTAAATCTGCCTTTCCGTGAAGGTTGGTTAGGTAACAAAGGCAACGGCACTGCAGAAGTTACTGAAGTTTGGATAGATAGCACAGGAAATCTGAGTGGAACACCACTGTAGAATCCCATACACATAATAAGTCAGTAGGCCTTTATAGAAATCCAAGAATTTTTAAAGGTTTTTAGCAAAAATGTAACTACACTTATTACCTATTAACTATCATCCCTCCCATGTGCATTTCACATACTGACTGCCATTTTGTGGTGGTGTGGTGGGTTTTTCCAGAGTTTTCTAAAATCTGTTTTAGGGACATTTCCTGCCCCACTCTGCAGGTCTTCCAGGATGTAAAGCCAGCTCACTTACTCTTCTGAAAGTGAGGTGCCAGGCCACCAAGCATGGGGTCTTTCAGCAGCACTCAGGGCATGGGGTCTGGCTTCTTCAAGTGTCAGGGACAGCTGGCCTTGGGCCAACAGTATCTGTGGCTGGTTTACATGATTTTCTTCCTGAGTTTGATCGCTTTATTGTTTCCATTTTCATCCTCTCCAAGGATGAGATCTGGTGGCTGATACCTTGATATTAATAGTATTTTTTGCCCTTGTCTCAACCATGATGGCACCCATGGATTCAGCATATTCCTCAGCATCCTTCAGGGGAAACTCCTTAATATCTGAGAGATGGCACTTGTTTCAGTAATAGCCATTACAATTTTTTCCGGCCCATGTTCTTTCAGCTCTTTGTCCCACTTCTTCAAGATATGAAATGAATCCTGTTTGGGTAACATCATGCACTGTATCAGCTGCAGCCGATCCTCCATAGCATATGAGCCAACGAATGAAACCGTTCCTGGCCAGCAGTGTCCCAGAGGAGGAACTTGTGAAGGTCATTTCCACAAGGCGCAGTTTTGGTCACAAAAGATACCTCAAGGGTAGGGCTGATGTTGTGGTCAAAGTGATCCTGGGCAAATCAACACACAATGCTTGATTTCCCAACACCAGTGTCCCCGAGAAGGCACACTTTGAACTTCTCTATTGCCATCATATGTTGGCTGTCAGGCCAGCAGGGGCTCAGCAGCGTCCTCCCGGCTCCATCAGCATCCCCCACCTGGGCACCTCGCTGGTGCCGCCCAACTTTTCATCTTCAAAGCCCTTTTTCTACTGCAGTTGCTTTTCCCAGAAGCCGCATATTTATCCCAGGGAAGGACGCTGATTGGTCATGGCTGAAGCATATGTCCACTCCTGGGCCAATCCCTCTGCCTCGGGTAATGAGATGCTATGATTGGTTATGTCTGCATCAGGTGCACCAAAAGGAGAGGTGCTGGGCAGTCCCAAACAACAGCTGTTATAATCCACTACAGCCCGGATTGCAAGATCACGGGAACTTTCCTCTTTCATAGTTCCATAGGGTTGGACTCAGGAGACTTGGTTGGTCTCAGGAGACTAAAAGGGGAGTAGGGTTTTCTGTGTTTCTTCTTGTTAGCTTAGGACTGGGATTTCTTTGGGGGTTGAGGGTCAGCTTCAGTTCTAGGTAGAGATGGCTGATTCAATGTATGTATCACCTGGCATGTTAGTGAAGCTTTGAGAGTAAACCAAAAGTAAGAAGATTAAAAGAATATGTAAACTCAAAACAAAAAAAAAAAAAAAAAAAAGAGAAAGGAAATAAAATATGTAAAACTTGGAAGTTGAAAAGCACACGGACAAGTGGAAACTGACTTGGTTCTCCCTACCGCTGGCTTAGGAGTCAGTTTTTTCTGTCTGCTGGGAAGGGCCAGGCGCAGGAATTGGCACTTTCAGGTACCTCTGGAAGTAGATGTAAAGGTGAGATTTGAAAAAGCAGAAAATCGGATGGGCACGGTGGCTCAGGCCTGTAATCCCAACACTTTGGGAGGCCGAGGGGGTGGATCACCTGAGGTCAGGAGTTTGAGACCAGCCTGGCCAACATGATGAAACCCTGTCTCTACTAAAAATACAAAAAATTAGCCAGGCGTGGTGGGAGACGCCTGTGATCCCAGCTAATCAGGAGGCTGAGGCAGGAGAATCGCTTGAACCTGGGTGGCAGAGGTTGCAGTGAGCTGAGATCGAGCCACTGCACTCTAGCCTGGGCAACAAGAGTGCAACTCTGTCTCAAAAAAAAAAAAAAAAGAAAAAAAAAGAGAAAGTCTCTGGCCTGGCAAACACTAGGTATAGTAGGCCACAGGAGTGCTGTACTGAAAACAGGGTTATGTGAATGGCTCCTAGTTTTCTTCTCTCATTTTTCTTTCTTTTTTTTTTCTCTTTTTTGTTAGACAGGGTCTCATCCTGTCACCCAGGCTAGAGTGCAGTGGTGCCATCTTCGCTTACTGCAACCTCCGCCTTCCGGGTTCAAACGATTCTCCTGTCTCAGCCTCCTGAGAAGCTGGGACTACAGGTGCCTGCCACCACACCCGGCTAATTTTTGTAGAGACTGGGTTCCTCCATGTTGCCCAGTCTGGTCTCGAACTCCTGAGCTCAAGTGATCCGCCTGTCTTGGCCTCCCACAGTGCAGGGATTACAGGTGTGAGCCATCGCGCCTGATCCCTAGTTTTCTTCTCACGCTCAGCTTCCAGGATGCCAACCGCCAGGTCTGTATTCTATGGGCAGAGGTTTGTAGAAATGTGTTTTAGGTCTCCCTTCGTGGTCGTTTCCCCAGAGATACTGTACAAATACTGGATGTTTCTAAAGTGAATGCCCAATGATTGACTTCTGGTAAAGCTCACAGTTGCTAAGCATCAGGGGATTGAGCCTCCAATCAGTTAGTGTCCTGACCTTTTAAATAGAGCAGACCGCTCAGGATCCCCAGACAGCTGAGGAATGCCTCTAATATGACAGAGATGAGTGCAACCCAGCATCTCCTCTGTCTGTCTTTCCTTCAGCAGTGCGGACCCCGGGGTTAGTCTCAACCGAGGCGGCCAGGCCAGACTGCCACGACAGTGGCTGCCTAGGGGCGGAACCAGCTGCTGGGCCCCATCCTGGTGGCTCTGGGCACAAGCCAGGGGAGCGGGCACAGGCGAGCGCCAGAAGCTGCGCCGGGAGGGTCCGCTGGCTGGACAGGGAGTGGTGCTCTGCCAACTCTGAGGTCCCCAGGTCTGAGCTCAGCAGCCTTCGCTGGCGCCCAAGCTGCAGCCGTGATTTGCATGGAGCTCTGCCCGCCAGAGAGTGTCCTCATGGGGGTTTCCCCAGGCGAGGCCTTCAGCATCTCAAGGTTCTCTAACTGCTGTAGCCTCAGTCATGTGTTCCCATGTGGGAACGCTGTCTTCACACGTGACTAGGGCTAGAGTAGCTGGAACTTCAGGATGCCTTCCCCTCCCAGGGAATGTCCTGAAAACTCTGCCAACTCCCACTGACGTGGGGCGGGAACGCAGGGCTGGTAACAAGCTGTCATCAACACGTGAGCCATGCACATGCGCGCTGAGAACGGTTGGCCAGCCGTAGGTTGTGCGCACGCGCAGTGACGAGCTGTCAGAGGTGCGCATGCGCAGTCGGGCTTACTGGCTTACGCTTCGCGCGGCCTGGCTGCTTGGCTTCGCTTGTTATTGGCTCTGACTTTGGAAGCCGCGGAGTTTCCTGGTTGGAGGTGGTGGCTAACCAGAGTGGCTTGGTCTTATTGGGCCCCTGAGGCTGTGATAGGCGGACTGGTGCTGAGGTGTCTCTGATAGCCTCCGCCATGAAGGGGTCCTGCGGCTCCTTCACCTGCTGGGGGAGGTGCAGGGGGGACGATGTCGAGGACGATGACAGCCCCTTCACCCAGCGCGGGTACAACATCCGAGAGAAACACCTGGGTAAGCTCCACAGAGCTGCCAGCCGGGGTGAAGTCTCCAAGGTGGAGCGCATCCTTTCGCGCGGGAACGCTGACTTGGATGAGAGAGACAAGAAAAAGAGGTGACAGGAGCTGGGGCTGGGGGCGGGGGCTGGGAGGAGGCGGGGGTGCGGGAGAAGCGCCCCCTTTTTGACGGGGGGATGCGGGGTAGGGGGTGAGCCCTCCTGACCCCGGGGTCCTGGCTTTCCTGCCCCCGCAGGCTCCACAGCACCTGGCATGGGGAAACCTTGGAGGGATTAATTAAGTCTATACAACACTTTATCTTTAATGGACACATTTCAAAACATTTTTTTTTGTTTTTATGAGACGGAGTTTCGCTCTTTTTGCCCAGGCTGGAGTGCAGTGGCGCGATCTTGGCTCACTGCCACCTCTGCCTCCCGGGTTCAAGCAATTCTCCTGTCTGAACATCCTGAGCAGCTGGGATTGTAGGTGCACGCTACCACGACCGGCTAATTTTTGTATTTTTAGTAGAGACGGGGTTTCACCATGTTGGCCAGGCTGGTCTCCAACTCCTGACCTCAGATGATCCGCTCGCATCGGCCTCCCAGAGTGCTGAGATTACAGGCGTGAGCCACTGCTCCCGGCCAACATGATGTTATATACTCTATAGACAGGTGCATAAGGAGAGCAATAATTCCCATGACATTTCAATTTCTGGACTAAAAATTCTTCAGATTATATCTAATATTATATATATGTATATAAATTTATATATCTATTTATATAAATGTACACCTATGTAAATACGTTCTTTACTGAAGAACCGTAGAAGGAAACTTTGAAGTGGGAAGTCGTTCCTGTTCTTGAGTAGGAAGATTCATTTTTCTCAAGATGTGAGCTCTTTGTGTATCAACTTCACATAAACCAAATAAAAATATCAAAGTTTTAATATTTTAAAGTTAAACTTGTCTGTGTTTTACTGTTGTGATGACATGAAAATGTTTTTTGTAATGAGGTGAGAAAGACTGGCCTTTCTATATATCAAAATGTGCTATTAATTTCCACAAATTGTTTATTAACAGCTGAAAAGACAGGTAAATGAATGCAACAGAATAGAAGATCTAGAATTGCCCAAATATATGTAAGAATTTAGAGCTTGATAATGTTGACATTTTGGATTAGTAGGAAGGGTGAATTATTCATAAATGAAATGCCTGCTGTTTGGAGAAAACTAACTAGATTTTTATGTCGCAAAAATAAGTTCCCGATGAAATATAGATCAAACATTTTAAGTATACAAAATAAGGAAAGTACCAGAAGAAGACACACATGCCTATTTATACAGATACATTTTTATGTTGATAAAGACCTTAAGAACTTCACAAGCAAGCATTCTGAAGGTTAATTTAGCAAAATAAAACTTAAAACACTTTGTAAATAAGAAAAAAAGACAACCTACTTGCAAAATATTTACAACACATACATATAATACACACACATGTAATACATACACATCAGGTGAACAATGTATCTTCATATCTTCAACAATAAAATAATTCTAAATTTGGGCAAAATACTTTTTTTGTACATCCATAAGTGACATAGGAAAAAACATTTAGTGTTCCTTGCAAGAGAAGTAATTCATGTTAAAAAAGAAATAAAATACTGTTTCCTATCCACAAAGTTTGTGAAGATGAAGACAGTGGTACTTACACGGCTGCTTAAAGTTTAAGTTGCTGATGACTTTTCAGATAGAGAATTTGGTGATAAGCACCACATTTAAAAAACATATATGCCCTTCACTCATCAATTCCATTATACTGAAATATTTGTAAAAAATAGAGATACATCCAATTTGTTTTTCTCAGTACTGCTTAAAACCTCAATGTATTAAGAAGAACCCATATGGTGGATTTTAGAACTAAATTTCAGTGCGTCCATAGGATGGAATAGTAGCTGTTGAAGGTGTGACTAGATGCAGACTTATTTTGACATGTGAAGATGTACTTTGCTATAGCAATTGAGAAAAAATTATTTTGAATGTACATACACATAGACTATGCTCTTGTTTTAGCTGAAAATGTGTACCAAATATGAATACATTTATTTCTGGGCATTTGTACTATAAGAAACTTTTTTTTCTTGTCTGTGATTTCTGCAATAAGCATGTATAAAGGTTACAGTAAAGGCTTATTATTAATGAAATAATCCTTGGGAAAAGAAGAATACACAAAACTTGCCCAGATAAAAATAATTTCTCACTTTCTATTATTTTATTTTTGTGGTTTGGTCTCTTCCAACCACAAAAACCATTTTTGTGGTTTTAGCCTCTTAAAAGAGGCAACTTTTAGCCTCTTTTGGAGAAGGGGGAATCCTTTTATCTGTGCTTAAAGGTTTTATTATGAATACATTTTTATTACATACATATATTTTTATTACATATAGATTTACTACATATATGCAAAAAATAGATTAAAAATTTTAGTTTAGTTGTGTCCTTATGAAAATAAAAAATAGCAAACATAAGTGAGTATTACTATTACAAAAGTATTGCTTTATTTTATGGGAGTTTTCTGTAAACACGTTGAACTCCCCAACTGTAATTTTCCATTGCTTTTTTAAATAAAAATAATTTTTTTTGAGACAGGCTCTCACCCAGGCTGGAGTGCAGTGGCACGATTATGGTTCACTGCAGCCTTGACCTCCTGTGCTCAGGTGATCCTCTCCTCAGCCTCTGAGTAGCTGGGACTGCTGGTGTGTGCAACATGCCTGGCTAATTTTTGTACTTTTTGTAGAGACAGGGTGTCGCCATGTTGTCCAGGCTGGTCGTAAACTCCTGGGCCCAAATAATCCTCCCACCTTGGCCTCCCAAAGAGCTGCAATTACAGACATGAGGCACCATGCACAGCCTTCATTTTTTCAATCAATTTATCCATCAAACAGAAGCTGGACACCTGTTATGTAGTACACATATTCTACTATCTTTCAGGACCCTTTCATCCTTAAAAACTTCATATTTACCTGCCTAGCTTGAACAAGCTGAGAGATTTAAAATTGGAGTATTAGAACTTATTCTCAATTGAAGCTTTTCCTTCCTCCTTTAAGCATTTCTGAAGGTGGAAAATAGCAAAATAGAATTTTGTTGTTGTTGCTGTTGTTGTTGTTTTTGTTTTTCTTTTTTTTTTAGACCGAGTCTCCGTTGCCCAGGCTGGAGTGCAGTGGCACAATCTTGGCTGATCTTGGCTCACTGCAACCTCCGCCATCTGGGTTCAAGTGATTCTCTTGCCTCAGCCTCCTGAGTAGCTGGGATTACAGGCATACGCCACCATACCTGGCTAATTTTTGTATTTTTAGAAAAGACAGGACTTCACCATGTTGTCCAGGTTGGTTTTGAACTGCTGACCTCAGGTGATCTGCCTGCCTCGGCTTCCCAAAGTGCTGGGATTACAGGTGTGAGCCATTGTGTCCGGCCGCAAAATATAACTTTTAACTACTCTTTTGAAAGTTTATAACAGTCTTAAACGTGAATATTAATCATTGAAAGTGCCTGATTTACATCCATTCTATAAATCTAAATAGAAAATAAAGTAAGTCATATGCTTTCATTTGAATTCTGAATTTCTTTTGGCTTAAAGTGTTTTTTTTTTTTTTGAAAATCAAAGTAAGAATGAGTTTGTTTTAAACATTTGTTGTCATCTTTATTTTCAGTCCTCTTGTTCCATGGTACTTTTAAGAACTAAAAT